CCGGCGTACTTCCGGCAGCCGAGAATATTCCGTCGAATAATTACGAATCGCCGTATTCCGACGTTGTGTCCGCGATCCTCCGCCGCCAGTCGCGGCGGTGGTCGGAGCCTTCCTTGGCAGGCGGCGCCACCGCCTTCCGGCCGTTCTCTCCATCACCAACACCATCTTCCGGCGGCGGCGCCACCGCTCAGACGGCTCTGAAGTACATCCTGTTCACCGTCCCTCTCCTCCACGCCGCCAAGTCACGTGACCGCCATGAGCAGCAAGTATCAGTCCCCCACGACACAGGGCAGGTGCACGTGCTGGCGGAGCGGCGGCGGCGGGAGAAGCTGAAGGAGAGGTTCACGACGCTGAGATCCATGGTGCCGTTCGTGACGAAGATGGACAAAGCGTCGATTCTGGGGGACACGATTGAGTACGTGAAGCAGCTGAGGAGGAGAATTGAGGAGCTGGAGGGGGAGGTGGAGAGGAAAGGAGGCGGTGGTGATTGGAAGGAGAGGAAGAAGATGAGGAGGCGGCGGCGGAGGATGGCGGCGGCGGCGGCGGCGGCGGCGGCGGAGGTGGAGGTGGAGGTGGAGGTAATATCGAGAGATGTGCTGGTGGAGATGAGGTGGCGGAGGAGGGAAGGAGTGTTGGTGGAGGTGATGCAGGTGCTGAGAAGGTTGAAGATGGAGGTCACCAATGTTCAGTCCTCCATAACCGCCCAAGGGCTTTTTGAAGCTGAGCTCATTGCAAAGGTACGTATCTCTTATCTCTATCTGTATTTAGTTAAAAGCTTCTCCTCATTTTCACTTCATTATTTTACTATTTTATTTCAACAAAAAAATTATATATATATATATATTTATATCAATATAATTTATTTTAAAATTAAATTTAAATAAAAATATATCATTTGATAAAAAATAAAATTTATATAATAAAAAATAAAAATAAATAAAATTATTATAAATAAATACATAATAAAAAATTGAGAGATTTTTTGGATTGATCTGTGCAGCAACCCTAAAAATCATTTTACCTTTTTCAAATCTTTAAAAATGCCGGCTAGCAAGCCCTACCGATGCTGATGCCCTTAATTCATTAATCCCTCCCTCCAAACCTCCTGTGTGTCTGAGTTACGTAGATACAAAAATTTAGAATAAGTACAATATATAAATAATTAAGAATATATTAGTATAATATAAATACTTATAAATTAAAATTAGAATAATTAATTAGTTTAATTAAAATTAAAAAAATTTAGGTGTAAAATTCAAAAAATACAATTGATATATATGAAATATGGACAGACAGAAATGTCAATGTAGATATAGTATATGGAATAAAAGGGAGTATTATTTTTTTTCTCTCTATATACATATATTCGTTTCGGTCACCGTACTATCTGTCAAATTACTTCATTAGCAAATATCTATACAAAAAATAACAAATAATGATATAATATATAACATATATTTGAATAACACATTATATAATTACAATGTAGCAAAATATATTATCATTTAGCAGTAATTTGATCCAATCAGCTAATGTCTGTAAAGAAAATAACAAATATTGATATAATATATAACACATTATATAATACAATATATGATTTATCTTGTGACAATTTGTTAATTGTTTCAGAGTGGACGTCGTAGCTTGGTAATATGTTATTTGTTGTATAATGATTTGCTAACTATTTCAAACTAGTTTATTGATTTGTTCAAATTAGCGCGGTAACGCAATCAATGCACTAACCGGCGCCATATAAATAAATGATATATAGTAATTGATAATTATTTATGAAATGTTTGTTGATTTGTGATGATGATAGGCAAAAGAGAAGGTGAGAGACAGGAAAGCGAGCATTGCGGAGGTGAAAAGGGCGATCTATGAAGCCATTTATACACCACACGGCATCTTTAACCAAGTAAGTATAGCTAGTGATTAATTAAGTCATATACTATAACTTAGTAGTATTATTAATTAGCTGCTTGAGGCTCAGAATCCACAGTATAACCGAAATTGAGGATGCCATTACAATTAGTTAGCTTCATCCCCTTTTTTTTTTTTTTTTTACGACGTGAAAATTCGTAGTCATTATCCGAAAGTGCGTACTAAGTAAACATTCGATCGAACCTAATACCCTACAGACTTAGTTAGTTTCATCCTTAAACGAGGGGTATGGATCACCGGCCTTGGCTGCCTAGGCCCTTTAGTCTCTTCTAATACACATTGTGTATATATATATTCATAATGTGTGTATGGAATATGGATGCAAAAAACTGATTGATATACACTTATATACAAATATATATATATCTTTTCACACACATTACATATTCACTTTCACAATATATATATATATGTAAAGACTCTGTTGAATATTATTTCGTATTGAAAAACTTGTAGGAATTCTTTTTTATTTATAAAGGTAAATGCATACTTCAAATATCACCGACTGATCTTAAATCTGAAGTCCGAATCCCTTTTAATATGGTATCAAAGTCATGATACCTGTATTAGGTATTGATCTTGGTAAACTTTTGGGACTATTAAGGGTGAAGAATCACTCAATGATTTTAAGATGGAACCTCTTAACACACTTTCTATTAATTATTCCTATACTCTAGTACACAATAAAAATTCAAAGAAAAGGATTGAATTGAATTGAATTGGTTTGGGTGAGACCCAAAATTGAGATGGGCCCAATATAGTCCCAGGCCTAAAACTGGTTTTTCCTAATGTTCTGTTCCTGGGCTGGGTTAGAATCACTTGCCTGTACTTGCACCTTGGTGATCTTTCATGTGGATTAATAAACACTTCATTTTGGGCTGAGCGGTAAGCACCCGTTTACTGGAATTGCTGACGTTACGCCCAATAAGTTTACCTCAGATAGTTACACTATACTATTAATCTAATTAATGCATTTTAATATACTTTCTCTATATCAGAATTTAGGTTGTATTTTGCACGAGATTTAAGAAATATTGATATTATATTGGCAGTCGGTAAAAAGTACGGTAAAAAACTTTTTTGTCATTGTGAGTGTATTAGTGTAAAAAGTAGTGGCAATTGTGTAATAATAATGAAAAAATAAATATAGTTTTATAGTGATATGATTATTTATGGAAATGAGAATATTGTTTTGAGACATATAAAAATGATAAATAAGACTATTGTATTGGAATTGAGGGAATATAAGATTTTGCTTTGCTGCTACATAAATATAATATATATATATATATATATATAAAATCGTATAACCCAAAGTCAATCTTATCATTATGCCCATTATAATAACATTAAGTATAGCCGCCGCGTTTAACACTTTATTCGGCATCCAATTATGTATTCATTTGATCGGATACACATTTTTTAAAAAATTAGATAAAAATAGAAATTTTTATTTTTTTAGAAAAAAAAGTAAAAAAATAGTATTTTTTACTAAAAAAAAAACGTAAATAAATATAATGGACAAAAAAATATATATAATATATTTGAATAAAATATGAAAAATATAGAGGAGCAATGCTAAATAAAGTCATTTGAAAATAGTAAATAAGGATGGAGTGAGTTATTATTGGTGTAATTAATATATGTTGAAAATACAAAAACTTACAGCAAAGTTAGGCAAGCTGTGCTAGAACATCTATAATAATGCATTCATATCTCTCTCTCTCTCTCTCTCTATATATATATATATATACACACGTATGTATGCTGTGGGTGTGTGCTGTTGAACTAAAACCTACCATATATAAGACGGGTGCAACGGGAGATAGACAGCACTCTGCCTAATTTAGAAAGTATATTGTAAAATCTACCTACAACTCTAAATATAACCATTGTAGACTAGCATATATATATATATATATATATAAACATGCAGCGTATTATACCTAGAATAAAAAAGTTCTCAAGCCAAGAAGTTGTGGGTGATCTTTTATTAAAATTATTAATAAAAAAGACATGTATAAGTTGTAACCCTTATGTCTATGTTTGTATATTAAATTAAAGGGTAAACAGCTTTCGTAGTCCCCTATATAGACTCTTTTATCATTTTAGTCCTGTAAGTGGAGCTTGTCGTAAATTAGTCCCAAAGTAAAAAATTTTCGCTGTTTTAGTCTTCCGGCGCCGGAGAGGCCCGCGTGGCTTGCCGGAGGTGACGTGTCCGCCAGGTCAGCGACACTTGGCGGACACGTGGATTTATTTAATTATTTTTTCATTTTTTTTTAATTTTTTTAATTTTTTTTAATTGTAAGATATAAAAAAATTAAAAAAAATACAAATAAAATTTAATATAAATTAAAAATAAGTTTTTTAAAAAAAAATTTAAAAATAAAAATCCACGTGTCCGCCAAATCAGCGACACCTGGCGGACACGTCACCTCCGGCGAGCCACGCGGGCATCTCCGGCGCCGGAGGACTAAAACAGTAAAAATTCTTCACTTATGGACTAGTTTGCGACAGGCTCCACTTACGGGACTAAAATGATAAGGGAGTCCAGTTACGGGACTAAAAAAACAGTTTACTCTAAATTAAATTATACTCCCTCCGGTCATTAAAATTAGCTCATTTGGATCTTGTAGGAATCAGGAAAAATGAATATTTTATATAAATAAGTGATAGGTAATTGATAGTTTTTATAAAAATTTAGTTAAAAAGTAAAGAAAATAAAAAGATAATATAATAAAATTAGTGATATAAGTATTGAACGAAGGTAATAATTAAATATTGATTTATTGATTTTATCAAAATTAGTAATGAGATAAATTTAGTTGAAGGACTAAAAAAAAGATGGAGGGACTATTAATTATAATTGGTAGTCAGAATTTTTGAAAATTTTAAAAATTTAATGCATAGTGTAGAGGACAGATGGTGATGTTCTACTGGATGAATACATGCAGTAATTAAACAGTCATCACTATAACACCCTACTAAAATAATAACGATATAGTTAACATGTTATTAATTAATATATATATGAATTATTATTAATATAGAGAGGTTACATCATGCATGTTATCTTATAATCAAACCCCGCCCCCACTATACAAGCAATAAATGTGTAGCTTAATTACATAATGAAAAACATGCAATTTACAAATCATATTTAAATATATATATATATATATATTATCAAATTGTTAAATAAATCATGAAGGCAGCCCACGCCCACACCCACACCGTGTATATTTATTGGTATATTTATTGAGAATATAATTATTAATAAGTCCATTCTTTAGGGAGGAAAATCTCTGGGGAGAGACTTATTATATCATCTGCTGCCTGCCGTTGCTTCTGCTTCTCCTCCAACTTTTCATGTCTTTTTTTCAAACTATTATTTTTCAATTCATGATGTTCTGCTTCATGCACACAATAAATCTTATTAAATGCCCATCAATATACAATATATGTATTAATTAATAATTAATAAAAACCTGGTTGGGGTTTATTGATGAGCAGACCAAGTTCATGCACATTAAGGTTGAGGGCTTGAACCACTCTTGCAGGCAGCAAAACTGGAGAGAAAGCTGAAAATGAACCCCATCACAACATAAATATAAAACTTTAATCAAACCATATATGCGATACTACTTCCGTCATCCAATTGTGTGTCTATTTGATCAGCACGAATTTTAAAAAAAAAAAAGATAAAAATTAAAAAGATTTACTTTTTTAGAGTAAAAGAAAAATAGAAACCAAACAAAAATAAATTTAGATGACAACAAAAATAAAGAAATTGAAAATAAATTTGAATGAAAAATAAAGTAATAAATATATGTTTCTAAATTCAATAAATACAATTCCTATCCACTTCAAACATCACAAATTGTCATTTTTATCCTGTCAAATATATAATATATATTTTCCTTTTTAACACTTACTTACATCAATAGCATTATATTAAATCAAAGCTCAAGAACAAAAAAATCTTTACACACAATAGCAACATTAACAAATATTTGTAGACTTAATTAACTGAAAAGTATGGATGAGCCAAAGCATAATGTGAAGATATATATCCATCATAAGAAGGATAAACTCCAAAGGACTCAAACTGGAAAAAACTACTGAAAATTATACCATCAAAAGTGTTGTGAGGGGATTGAAGCCTTTGCAAGTTACTGATCTTGTATATTTAATTTGTAGTCAGTGTATATATCTATCATATGAATTAATTAATAATAAAAACAAGTAGGTACCTGGCTTACTGCTACATTGGAATCCAGTGCCTTCCCTTCTGGGAAGAAATACTCCAGTTCCACAACATCTCTGGTTTGACGGTCCAAGGAATATCGCCTGCATTCCAGGTCCACCTGAGGTCCAGTTTTTTGCAGCTCTTTGATGGCCGCCTTTCTGTTGCCTGTTTCTCGATCTCTGCTGTTCAAACTACAATTCAAACACACAGTTGCAACTAAATCAAACTATAATTCAATGTCAGTCAGGCTGTTAATTTAATTACTTCCGAGATTCACGCATCCTTGCTTGAAAATATGCTTTAACAAAGATAGAAATGGAGAACATTCACTATAATTGAAAGTTCAGTTACAACTGAGTCAAACTATAATTCAATTATGTCAGTCAGGCTGTAATTAATCTAATTACTTGCGAGATTTACTCATACTTGCTTGAAAATATGCTTTAACAAAGATAGAAATGGAGAACAATCACTATAACTCAAAGCACAGTTACAACTAATCAAACTATAATTCGATGTAAGGCTGTATTCTAAGTTACTTCGGAGATTCGTTCATCCTTGCTTGAAAATGCTCTATACCAAAGCTAGAAAGAGAGAGCAATCCGTCGGGGAATTGAGAATTAATTTAATTGTTGTAATCCTATTCGTTCGAGATTTTTACTCATCTTTGCTTGAAAACGTTTCTCAAAATAGGAATGAAAAAACAAAGTGAAATCACAGAGTTGAGGAAATTAACTACAGATGAATCACACGAACAGTCCATACAAGGTCCAAAACGATACGCATACCTTCAAATGAGAGTTCGATTCCGCGCACCGCCTCGGCGGCGACTTCACCATTCCCAGTCGGTACGATTTCTGCTCAATCGGAGAAGCGAACTGCTCCGGTGAGAAGAAAACGAAGCATCAGACGACGACACTTGCGCGAACACTCCTAGCTACTGATCGAATTCGAATCGAAACCCTAGGAACCTAAATCCGTACCTTGCCGAACTTCTCATCATCTTCACGTCGTCCTACCATCACAGTACTCGTCGAAGGAAGCCTGAAATCGACAACTCCATCGCAACCTTCGTTCCGCGCCGCCGCCATAGCACGCAGAGTGAGTACCTCCGAATCACACACACACAGTAATGGTGATTGGCAACGAGTAAGAATCGGCGATGCACAGCAAGCAGTTACTTCTTCTTCCTACTCTCAACCTGCAACGCAACTAATAATCTCAACAACGTGACGACGCCTTTTATAGTTACGCAACGTACGGACGCCTCGCGGGGTGGATGGATTACGTGACAACCAAACAGGGAATAATGGTTTCGCCTTAACTGAATTACCGGTTTTACCCCTGGCGCGTAGCTTCGACCACCTCAGCTCGGTAATATTTTTTATTACTTTATATCTTTTCTATTCAAAATAAAAAAAAATAAATAATGCAACAAGTAGTATAAAAATAGAAAAGATTGTAGAATTTTTTATCAAAAAATAAAATAAATCTATTTTTTTCTATAACAGATAAATACAAATAAACTTAGGGGTGTGTTTGTTTGGGGGTTTGGTTTTTAAGTTGGGATTTGAATAGTAAAAGTTTTGAATTTGAATAGTTGTATGATGTGATATAAATATGTGTTGATGCGATATTTTGAATGTAAAATTAATTTTTAGTATAATATAAAAAATAAAAAATAGGTGTTTGATTTGATGTTTTTGGAGTGAAAATTTTTTATAAATAGTAAAATTTTGACAAAATCCTACAAACGAACACACGTCAAGCATTTAATTTTTTACCGTATTTTTTTTATTTAAAAATTCTCTAGTTAAAACGGGAATTAATTTGCTAGATTCATCTCAAATTAACCAGACCTCATCACTGTTCTACTCTTGATTAAATTTTTTTTATGTAAATGTTTTCTTATTTGTAATTAATCATACATTCAATTTAATTTATCATAACCAATACGCTAAAATTTTGACCGCACCAATAAATATCAGTAAAACAATATCTATTATTAAATGAAAAGTATTTAAGGCAACATTATTACAAGGACAACAAAGTAATTTCACAGTAACACAGGTATACGTGGAGAGGTTGGGTTGGGTTGGGTAAACGCCTCCGTCTTCCGCAGGTGGTTGCAATAATTGTCCATTTCTTACCAATACAAGGTTTTTAACTTTTAATTTAATTTGAATAATTCCCAAAACTAATGATCACTCTAATTTTATTATTTTTCAAAAAATAATTTTACTCTTATTATCGACCACATTTATCTTCATAATACAGAATACTTCTTACCCAAAATAATAATAATAATAACTACAATAACAATTATATGCGCGCCTAGCTTTGTTGTGCTGTTTCTAGCCACCGAGCCTACACACGATTAGACCTTTTAACGAGCCTAGTCGAGTCAAATTTTAAGTGTTCGTTAACGTTCGCGAACAAGGCTCGTGTTCGTTCGTTAAGCTTTCAAGCTCAGCTCGTTAAGAATTTTTGTTATTTGAACTCGTGTTCGTATTCGGCTCATTTAGGCTCGATTAAGCTCGTTCGAGCTCGTTTGTTTTATTTTTTAAAATTTATATATATTATAAAAAAAAAAATTAAATTTATTTATATATTTTAAATTAATATTTTATTCATTTATAAATTATAATTTTATATGTATACATAATATTTATAATAAATATATTATTTAAACGGACGTTCGCGAATAAAGCTCGGGTTCATTCGTCAACCAAACGAGCCTGTTTATGTTGTTCAGCTTGACTCCTTAACGTTCGCAAACGAGCTTTAACCGAGCCGAATCGAGCCGACGAACGGCTCGGTTCGTTTAACAGCTCTACACACGATTCATATTAATATACTATGAATACATACAAATGACAGCTATTCATACAATATACATATCAACACAAAATATATATATATATATATATATCAATACAAAACACCCTAATAAATATGAACAGTATCTCATAATTTCAATTAACAAAACATATATTCTATTAATAGAAATGATGTATATAGTATATGTCTATTTTCATGTAGAAATTTAATTGTAAGTGCATATAATTAGATAACCTAAGAAAGGTAGCTCAGTGTATCTGAAAAGGAGTGATGTGCAATTTTCTATTAGATTTTACCAAACTTATAACCTAACTCAGCTATTACTACTATTTAGATCAGATCATAATAACGAATGTACAATTTGAACAGTTCAACTAACTTCCCAACAGAACATACAATCCAATTAATCTTACTCACCTAATCAACATGCTCATCAAACAACAACATGCCACTTTTCCCTAAAATAGTAATGTCGAAATTTCACCGTAACAACACAAGATAAACACACATATACATACATACATATATATATAGAGAGAGAGAGAGAAAGAGAGAGAGAGAGGGGCTTACGAGGAATTGCTCGGTTGCGGCCGCAAGACGTGAAGGTTTTGGATTTCGACCTGAAGCGTTTCCAGTTTTCTTTGGATTGCAGCCAATTCATCCAGAGTGGCTGAAAGTTGATCCGCGCGATTTTGAGCTGTTTCTTGATATGGTTTGGCGACGAGGGTCGTGTAGTCATTTAAAGTATCGGTGGCATTCGAGAGGTCCTTCTGCATGGCATCCTCGACCTGACGAGCTAAGGCATCGGCAGTTCTTCTCACTTTATCTACCACTTGTTGTCGTTGCGCAGGAAGGCTCGAAATTGCCAATAGTCTATATCATCATATAGATTCAAATGTAAAGATAAAAATAAGAAAACATGCGTCGTATATTCCTAACCATAAATGCATAAATGGCGAAAATGTAGCGCATATGTGATTGCGATTTACATACCCTCCGGCGGAACAAAGGCCCAATGCGAGAAGATCCTCCAATGTCGTCTGCAAGATGGATGTTAAGAGCGACGCGGATAGACCGGCTACGCCCAATCCACCGACAGTTCCCAAAAACTAAAAATTTAAGAACAGAACTATTAGCCAATATTTATTCGATTGCTTTGTCTTGTAGTATAAATTAATGGTTTTAATGGTCGGGAAATGATGCAAGGAACTTACGGCTTCACGAATCTCTTGCTCAAAAAGTTTAGAAGCAGCAGCCGCGCTGAAATCGGTAAGAATTTCTACACATAGTTGATGTTCTGTCCTCAGCAGCTCACTGGCCGCCAACTGAGATTGAACAGACGGGACGACGAATGGCCATCTTCTTTCAAATGATTCTTTATACACATTCCCTTCACGATTGTTGCTCGATTGCAGCCATGCAGTGTACTCGCCAAGCAGTTTCTGGCCGACAATTTAATTTTACAGAATACGCATGACATGTTAATTTCAGCAGAAGGGAAGTGCTTTTTGAAATAGAACGTAGAAACATCACTCACTTGCACTTCCGAGACGGAGGGTTCAAGTATTTCACTCTGAAGATTTAATGTCACCGGCAAACGGGCAGATTTGCCACTTTTGAGAACGGAAGAAATGACGAGATCAAAATTTGATAATTGTAGAGTGGACTCGGTCAGGTTGATTGCGCGCGCTTGTGCATTATCTATCTGCAATTTTTACCCAAACAAAATCGGAAACCTTTAAATATAATGAATAGGAAATTGAGAAACAATCGTAGAGCAGCAGACCGTACCAAAGACAATATTTGTCGTTTCCATGAGATACTTTCAGTTTCCATCTTTAATGTATACTCTTTCACAGTGTCGAGAAGCTTATTTACCAAAACCAAGTCCTTTTCCGCCTGCTGGAAATCTTCTCTAACGAGCTTCTGACAAGCAGAATGTAGCCTTTCAGCAATCTTAACCGGAGTTTCCAGCTTAAGTTTTATTCTCTCCATTCCATTATCGGTTGTTGCATCTAAAAAGCTATAAAGAAACTTCTCAAAATCGGCAAATTTGTTAGTTCCTGGGTATGGAATGTTCCAGAACTCGTCGGCCCTTTCTAGACCACTCAAAGCTGAAAGCTTTGCTTCTAAAGTACGCCGTGCAGATATAGGGTATAAGCTGACATGTTCGGCATTTATCATCTTTCGAGCGTTTTCCTTGATGAATGAAACAGCTTCTTCAAGCTGCATAGAATATATATATATAAAACTTAAATCAGAGGAAGCTCGTATTTAAATGAAACAATTTGAAGGACGTATATGTTAGGGTTAACCTCATCGTCATTTCGATACAGGTCGGACTTATTCAGCACAAAAACAACTTTTTTCTTCCATTGTTGGGTGTAGCGTAGAAAAGAAACCTGATAGATAACATCAGGAAACTATTAGCTTCTCAGGTTATAGAGAAAGAAAGAGGTAAGACAAACTTTTGTAATTTATATAATTTCTTTACATTATTTCAAAATGTAATGAGATACGAAATAACTAGCATCACAAGCATCGACGCTCTTCCATGGTTAATTAGACCATACCTCACTTTCAGTTAAAGGCCGATCAGCAGACAAGACAAAGAGAATCAAATCTGCACGAGGCACGAATTCCTCAGTCAGCCGCTGTTGTCTTTGAAGAATCACATTTGTTCCAGGAGTATCAACAATGATCATCTGTTTGGAATGAGAATAATAATATGGTAAATATTAAACAGGGCAGCTCAGACAAATTTTGAGCGATAGATCTTCAATATATGAGAGCACTACGAGATCAATTTACACTTAAAGACAAGAATTACATAAACGAAAAAGTACAATCAATCCACTTTCTGGGACAATAAAAGTTATCATTTTTGCCATAGTTATTAGAATGATCTCCAGAGCAACAACATACAAAATGTTTGGGTGAAATTGATGCTCATGAAAATTTAAGTGACAGACTCAATCCAAATTTGGATAGAAATCTTAATGACATGAAATAAAGAATTTTTTGCATTCTTGTTAAATGATCGTAGTGTTTGGATTACAGATTGATGAACCACAAACCACATTATTTTGCTCCGAAAAAAGTAAAATAAAATACTTGCTGGAAGTAGTATGTGTAACTAAAAACCATAGGAAGAACGAACATTAAATAGTGAAACTCATGTACAAGACATCTGATGCCTCGATATATCTGTTAACAAGGAATATGATCATGCATTGCCATAACATGTTTTCATACAGCAATAAATAAATAAAAACTCACTTCTTTTAGAATTGGTGCAGGTATATAGCATGTGTATTGGCCATCAGGATTCCTTTCACACCGCTGTTCACTATATTCTGATTCAGAATAGCGTAGAAAGGTGATCTCATTAGTCGTAGGAATGACCCCATCCTTTAGGTAGTTTTGTCCAAGCAAAGCATTTATAACGCTCGACTTTCCAGAGTTAAACTCTCCCTGGTACAATTAGTACATGTAGGGATCTTACTTGGGCTACAAATGTGATGGTATTGAAAAATTTAAAGCAGTTTTTCTAGTAGCAATAATTTATAAATTCGACTACGCTCTCAAGGGACTCCAAAGTAACACACTCAAAAGGAAAAAAATGAAGAATCTACTAAATTCAGTTCTTGATATATTATCAAGAAATCTTTTTGACATATGAGAAGAAGACTAATATTCGCTACAATACCAATATATATATAACCAGATAACTACAGAGAAGAAAAAAGATACTATGCGAACACACACACACACACATATTATGTTATTGGATTGAAATATTACAATCATGATTGCCTACCTTAATAAAGTGAAAAATATTATTAATTTTAACATGTATGTTTTAATTAAGAAAATCAAGCTTCCTTTTGAAACATGAGTGATTCAGGATTAGGTTGAACCAACAACCATCTAATAAACAAAAATTCATCGAAATTAGAGCTAATACCCATGAATATCCGGGGAACCAGAATTCGTTGAAGTTCAGCACACAATTACCACTATAACCAACGAAAATGGTTCGTCAAGTTGGGAAACAGCATCTTTGAGGAGCGAGATGTCCCCCATCTGCCAATCGAGATTTAAAAAGTTTCATGTTAGCTGTAATTACAAATCAGAAACAGGATGGAATGTCAAGTCAGAACACCATCAACTACCAAAGTTTAACAAGGAAAGATCACCAGTGGTGCAGCTCTTTGGAAGACATCAACAGCTTCAAGCAATATAGACTTCTCCTGTTCAATGAATTGTTTCTCTCTCTCTTCCAATCTAGTGAACCCAGGAACCATCTTCTGACCAGGAAACCCATTCTCCATATATGAAGTATTGACACGGCCAAAAGCTGGACTGCTATCCTCTACTTTCTTAATTACCGCAATTTCGCTGTGAAAGAACTTTCTTAAGTCTTCTTCATTCAACAAGTTCAATTCATCCACTGAAACAACTACACCATCAACTCCTGATCTTAGGGAACCCAAAGTTTGCTTCAAGGATTTCCCATCCCTAACAGAATCAACCATAACAAATATTGGAATTTTTACATGCTCAGCCACAGAGCTCACCATCTCCTCTGGATGACTGTTTTCATTACACGTATAGATAAGAAAATCGGCACCCTCAATATTAGAAGCATTTAAAGCAGCATCATGGGTTTGGACATTCCTTCCTACTAGAGGTAGAATCACCGAATCAAGTTTTGCATCCAACATTGTATTTCTTGCCACAATTGTAGGTAAGCCTGTCATACATGGAGATAAACATCAAGATTCAGCAAGCATTAGACGAAAGACTAACTATGTGTAGCAAGCTACCTGAATGAGCAATGGAACATTCAGGTGTTCCCCCACAAAAAGCTATATATTATTCAGATCCCCAAAAAGTCTTAGCTATGCAATTAAATTAACTTTACAGTTCCTCGCATCATGATTGTATTTGATTGCCCTCAAAATAGCCTTCATACTTTTCTTCAACTGTAAAAGACAATCTATAATTGCTTCCTCATAATGTAAATTTGTAATTAAAACCCTACAACATGTGCCTAAACTTCCATACAAAGTAGAACTAACCTTTGACGTATTCCAATTCCATGAAACAACACAATTTAAACTTTTAAAGATTGGTAAGCAGTTTAAGAACAGAAGACAAGTTACAAAAAGATACAATGAATTTGATCTCAGATGCCTACCTTGATCAGATAGCAAAACTCCGCTTGCATTAACCGCAGCGGCAATATCTACGCGCTCATCAATCAACAAGTAAGCACGGTCCTTAATCACAGATTTCAGCAAACAAGCCGCCTCATATAGCTGCTTTCCGCTGCCTTCGCCGCCAGTAAGTACTACAACGCCAACCGTATCAGAAACAGATACGTCAACAACATCAATCACCGCTTTGTCATCCTTAAGCACATCGTCTGAGCTCAATCGGAGGACGAGACTCGGCACCTTAATTTCAGGACGCTTGTAACCGCCAGGAAACAGACTCCTCGGTGTACTTTGTCGAATACAATTTGAAATCAGCGTCTCCTTGCGTCTTGAGGCGCCGGACCGAGGGTTGGAAGAGACTAATGCGCGACGAATACGGGATGCTCGCACCGTCGGCAAGGGATGAAAAAGGAAATAACGGTTAGTAGAGGTCAAAGGAGGAAAGGTAGAAAGTACCATCGATGGAAGAAGAAACGGACGGCGGCGGCCGGAGTTCCTCCTTGTGGCTGTGGTGGTGCGTAGGCAAAGCTCCACTTATCCGATTTGATGACGGTGATTTGAATTCTGTGACGATTTGGGCTTATTTATATGTGGAGTGACTGTGACCGTAAGCCGCAATGCCGCTTGTTACTTTAGCATAAGCCATACAGAAGACACACAGGTGTATTTGTTTTTTGAGATTATTTAAAAAAAAAAGTAAAAAATTAATATGAATTATAGAAAATTATGTAAAAAATATAAAAATAATAAATATATATAATATATTAATTTTTTTATTTTGGCATAGACGCTTCACGTTTTTTTTGTAACCTTGTACGTAAATGGTGCGTTTGTTTGGAATTTTGGATTTTGAGTTTGAGATTTGAATAATAAAAAAATTGAATTGAAATAGTACTATAATGTGATATAAAGTATTGATTTAATATTTTGAATATAAAATTAATTTTTATAATAATATAAAAATAAAAATTATATGTTTGATTCGATATTTTTTGAAATTTTTTTTTTTGATAAATAATAAAGTGGTTAAAATTTTTGAAGTAGTAAATACTCTTTTGGTATGAAATGACAATTTTACATTTTGTGGTAAGATAGAGGTCGCATGCTCAAATAAAAACAATAAATGTATGAAAAGTAGAAAAGTAAAATTTTTATATTAAAAAAAAAATAGGACAATAATTATTATGATATTAGTGTGTGAAACAAATGAATATTACCAAAAAAACCATTCTAAAATAATTAAATTAAAATTTAATAAATGCATTTTTTTTAAAAAAAAGGATTATTTAATTTTTTATTGTGTTTTAAAATAATAATTCTATAATATTTTAAAGAGCAAAAATCATTTTTGGCATATTTTACATTACAATCATCAATTTTATTCTTATTAAAAATTAATTTTGAGAATTGAAACTAAATTTTCTCAATTTTAGTAGCTAATAGAACTAAACCCGGTCCGTAATGTTTAATGACTCATAAATATAATTAAACTTTTCATACACCTGGTGTTGAATTTAAAATAGCGCTGGCCTTGTGCCCGGACGATAGAGGCGTCCGCCAAGACCGAATTTAAATAGGAGTATATTATTTATTTATATTATATTTTATCCGTTCTAATACAATAGTTATATTTGTCATTTTTGTTCGTTTCAAAATAATAGTTTTATCTTCATAAATAATTATATCACTATAAAACTATTCTTATTTTATCATTATTATTACACAATTGTCACTGTTTTTTACACTAATATACTCACAATGACAAAAAAATCTTTTACGCGTACTTTTTACTCATTACCAATATAATATCAATATTCCTTAAATATCGTGTCAAACACAACTCAAATTATAATTTTGGAAAGGAGGGAGTATATTATATTTAATGTATTAATTGATGTATATGGCTTAATGGTTAAATGTTATATGCTTTCAAAAACGTTGTATGAAATCTCATTTTATATTTTGGTGGAGGTTTCATGTAATATTTGTTAAAATATAAAGGAAGCCACGAAATTTTTAAAGTATTTGAAGAATTTATACTAAATTTTGAAACTATATGTGAGTTATGAACAATTTTGCTTTATTATTATTATTGATTTTTTTGCATAAAAAATACTACAAAAATATTTGTTTTATTATATATTATATTTTGTTATAGGTAAAAAAATATTATATATTTAAGTAGGGGTGTCAAAAATAAACTAGACCCGAAAAATCGAACCCATTCGACTTGAAACTTTTTAGGTTCGGGTTTGGGTTATTCAAGTTTACAAAAAATCGGGTCTACCCGAACCTAAAACGAAAGAAAATCGTGTTGTGTTCGGGTCGTGTTTCGGGTTGACCTGATAACTCGAAATATAAAAATCAAGTTAGGCTTCAGGTTTCATGTTTTGGGTACCTGGAATTATTTATTATTATTATTTTAATTAATAAAATTTATATAAAAATAAAAAAAATAAAAATTAATTTTTTTTGGTTAATTTAATTTTTATTAAAGTTTTCTGGTCTATTTGGTGTTGGATTCGTTTTAGATTTGTTCGAATTTCGGATGACCTGAAACTAATTCAGGTCAACCTAAACCCAACTTGAAAGAATTTGTATCGTGTTCGGGTTTAGGATTTCACGGGTTCGAGTCAGGTTAGAGTTGACAGTTTTTTTTGTTATCCCATGGCTCAATCTGGCATGAACACAAATGAAAAACACGAATTGACACCCTTGTATTTAAGAGCCCCAACTTTTATTTCGCCTCGGGCCCTTCGAAAGTCAAGATCGCTTTCAATTAAAAATGTGTTGAAACATAAATTATGGCGAACGAACCATAAATAATCAAAACTTTATGGAGAATTAGAGATAAAATTAGAACTTTACATAATTGTTGATAGTTGGTTGAACTTTGTTGAATGTTATGGAAGCCCTACAACATTTTAGAAACTAATTTTAATCCTTGGATTAATTCCACATTGACTGTCGGTTGGTGAATGAAGTTGTATATATAAGGGTGAATTTTTCTTTTGTAGTCAATTAAATTGAATTACAAGGACTCCCTGTTAGTATTTATTTTTCTATTTTAATTTGTCTCGTAACAAAATATCAATTTTCTTCTTTAGTAGTTGTATCATCTACCTAACATTACAAATATATAAGGGTGAATGAAGTTGTATATATAAGGGTGAATCTTATTAAATTGAATTACAAATACTCCCTAACAAAATATTCATTTTTCTATTTTAGTTTGTCTCGTAACAAAATATCAATTTTCTTTAGCTATATTATCTACCTAACATTACAGGTTCAGATTGACAGTTTTTTTTGTTATTCCATGGCTCAACCCGACATGAACACAACCGAAAAACAAAAATTGACACTCTTGTATTTAAGGACCCCTGACTTTTATTTCCCTCGGGCCCTTCGAAAGTCAGGATTGCTCCTTATTAAAAATGTGTTGAAACATAAATTATGACGAACGAACCATAAATAATCAAAACTTTTTTATGGAGAATTAGAGATAAAATTAGAATTTTACATAATTGTTGATAGTTGGTTGAACTTTGTTGAAGATTATGGAAGACCTACAACATTTTAGAGACTAATTTTAATCCTTGGATTGATTCGATATTGACTGTCGATTGGTGAATGAAGTTGTATATATAAGGGTGAATCTTATTTTGTAGTCAATTAAATTAAATTACAAGTACTCCTTAACAAAGTATTCATTTTTCTATTTTAATTTGTCTCGTAACAAAATATCAATTTTCTTCTTTAGTAGTTGTATTATCTACTTAACATTACAAATACCCTTACAATTTATAATATATTACACAAATATCATTACCTTTATATCACACAATACTAATAATATTATTTTAGTCATTTCTATTTTATTCCTACTACATCTCAATATAATACTAATATTTCTACTTCGTGCAAAAAGCAAACTAATATTTAGTTATGAGACGAATGGAGTATTATTTTTGTATAATACCTATCAGTGCCAAATAAAAAAATCAATATACATTTCTTTCTTTTTTTAATTACATTATTTAATTTTTAAATTATTTTATTTAATATTATCTAAATAAATTATCGTACCAAAATTAAATATTGCATCATATTTGAAAGGTACCAATATTTTTTATATAATTTTAATTTTATATCAATATTATTTCATAATTTGTATATAGTTATTTTAATTTTATTTATTTATTAAAATTATTAAATTAATTATCTTATATAAAATATTATAATAATATTAATAAAGTATTATTTTAGTATTTTAATATTAGTATTTATGTAAATCAATAATAATATATATTTAAAAAAATTAATTTGGTTTTTTTAGTACGTTGATTTGAATTTTGTTATATGAAATATTAAAAAAACGTATCAATAATATAAAAAATAATATTTTATATTAAATATGTTTATTTTTTATCCGAACATAAAATATATATATTAAAAATAAAATGAAAATTTAAAAAAAAAAACATAAAGATTTTATATTATATATTTTTTTATTATAATTCTGTGGTTGATTAGAATTATAATCCAAACATGTATTTAAGGATTCACGTGGCTGTACAAAACTGGAGCACAGTCTGTTGCATTATTATTTGATTCTAAAATAAGGTATTGAATGCAATGATATTTAATTATTTAATAATAGTAAATTATTATATTATTTTTTTATTTTTTATATAATTAATAGTATTGATAATTTAAAAATAAATTTAATATATATATTTTATTGAAAATTAAAGCAATTAAACGTTAAAACTGCATGACGTATGAACATGGCCGTTCCTGATTTTCGAAGGGTCCGGGGCAAAATAAAAATTAAGGGCCCCTTAAATATATATATATAATATTTTTTATCTATAATAAAATATAAATATTTTAAAAAAATTATAGTATAAATTTTAAAAATTGCGTAAAGCTCCCTTATATTTTAACAAACACTATATGAAACTCCCGCCATACAAAAAATATAGATGAAAAGTCATCTTCTCATCACAAAAAAAAATATAAAAATGAGTTTCATGGAACGTTTTTTAAAGTACAAGAGGGTTCATATCATTTTTAAAGTATATAGAAAATTTACATTGAATTTCGAAATCATAAAGGAATTATTGATAATTTTGCTTAATAATAATAATAATAATTTTCTCTAATATCTATTATTTTGTTAGTGCAAAAAAAATAATTAAAACAAAATAAAAAACCCGTAAATATATATATATATATATATGATCTACTCCAATTTTTTTTTACCTATAATAGAATATAAATTGTTAAATAAAATAAATTTTTTAGAAATTTTAAATAAAATATTAATAATAGTATTAATATTAACAATTTTAAAACAAAAATCAGGCCTATAAATATGTATAAATAATATTTTTTTTTTAATAATAAAATATAAATAATTAAATAAAGTAAATTTCTTAACATTTTTATATGTAAAATATCAATAATATTATTAATATTAACTTTGTATAATTCTTTTTAATGCATAAAAAAATATTTTTTAATTTTGAAGGATATAATTTAACCACCAAACCATACTCTTATACTAATACATTAATGTCAAATAATTTATATATATAAATAATATATAATGGATCCCAATTTAAATTGGATCCTGGACAGTCGCCCTTTAGCCCGGACCCAGGGTGGCCCTGCGTATGAAAAGATTTACCTGCGACAATCGAAAAATTTTATAAATGAAAATAAAAGAGCACATGTATGTCTTCTTAAAAATCGTGTTTATGATTTGCAACAATCTTCAAAGTAATTGAATACGAAATTTGACGAGTGCACGAAGTCATTGAAATTTGTTCGAAGTCAATTTGTCCAATAAGGGATAGTCCGATGGCGTGGGAATATTTCCTTATATTAGGATTCGAGTTTGTGAGTTAATTGCGCTTCCGAATTGGATACTTTGACTCCGAATCGTGTTTGCTTTCGTAATAATAAAAATTACTTTAAATTTTCGCTAGATTCTTGTTTGGTTATTGGAGAAAATACCTGTCGACATTGGTTAGTAACTACATATATGATTACAAATTTATAGTATGTATTTTTAATATTTTAAAATTATATCGCAATAAAAAATATATGCAATATTGATGATATCATTTTGTACAAAAATAAATTTTTTATAATATAAGTAATAAAAATACTTTTATTTATATATTTATTAAATATGTTTTAATTCAGTAAATTTTATCCAAAAAAAAATATATCGTTATGGAATAAATAAAAATGAAAAAGTATCAATCGTTGTGAAACAAAGGAAATAAAATATACATAATATTAACGATGTGGAACAGATAGAAGTAAACTATACATAATATTAAGATTATTTTATAAAAAATAAAATTTTATATAATAAAATATATAAATATTTATTTATAATTAATCTAACTTACTACTTGAATCACACTATTATTAATTTTATATATTTAATTTAATATGTATGATTTTTATAATTATATTTTTTACTTATCAAATCATAATCATCAAACCTCAAATTTTCAAATTCAAATTAACCTATAAACTTAAAAATATAAATATAAATATATATATATATATATATAAATAGAAGTCATATTAAAATTCAAATACAATCCAAAATTAAATTATATTCCCAAGACCCTAACCTCGCCAAAATTAACACATCCTATATATCTATTCTCCGTCGTCTTCAATCTCAATATTTTATTCTGCAAAATTTACAGGTGTGTTCACACGTGAGATTTGAGGTTTGGATAATAAAAATTTATATTGAAATAATTATTTGATTTGATATAAATATGTATTGATGTGATGTTTTAAATATACAATTAAATTTTAGTATAATACAATAAATAAACAATAAGTGTTTGATATGATGTTTTTGGAGAAAAAAAAAATTAAAATAGTATTCTATCCGTCTCAATACAATAGTCCTATTTACCATTATTTACCATTTTTGTCTATCTCAAAACAATAATCTTATTTTCATAAATAACCATATCACTATAAAATTACTCTTACTTTTTTATTATTATAACACAATTTTACACTAATACATTCACAAGAACAAAAATAAAAAATAAATTTTACTCATACTTTTTACACACCACAACGGAGGGAGCAAAACATAAAACCAAAACAAACAAGTAAATTTAAAAAAGACGAACCATCAGATAATACGGTTAAATTGAATCTACCTGGCACTTTGCTTGAGAGAAACATACTTTCAGTGTTCGCTGAAGAAGCCTACCGTTGTTGAAGCGGTACGAACCCACCCGCCGAGGATGGAACTAGACCCAACCCTCAAGTCAGGATGTCTCATTGTTTGGTCTACAAAGATTTAACAATTGAATAGTAAAAGTTTAAGTTAAATAGTTATGTGATATGATATAATAAATATTATAGTATAAAAATAAATAATTGTTTGATTTGATATTTTTTTAAAAATAAAATAAAATATCAATAGTAAAAACCTTTGTAATCTAAAGTAACATCACCTTAGATTTGTGTTTTCATTACCGAAAATCTGTTTTTCTTAGTTTGAAAAATTTTAATTTGAATTTAATATTAAATAGTACTCCGTCATCAAATTATTTTCACTTTCCTTTTTAGTCCATTCACTACTAATTTGAGCAAAATCAACAAATAAATATTTAATTATTATCATTCATTGAACACTTATTTATAAACAATACCACTAACTTTATTATATTATCTCTTCGTTTGCTTTATTTTTTAATTAAATTTTCAAAAATACCTCCAACTACCTATCACATTTTCTATAAAATATTCATTTTTCTTAATTCTCGTATCTGGCATGCACAAATGAGCTAATTTTAATGGATTGAAGGACTATATAATAAAAGATATTTTGTTAGAAGAAAAAGTGTATTATTTTCGAGACTCTGACTTTTGATACAATTTCATCTGCGTCTTCGGTAGCACCTGTGGACATAAGAAGTTTAGAACAAAAGATCGATTACATAGTTCGAGCAGTTGATGCTGTCATGTCTAAGGTATCATCGATGCAACATTACGTATATAACATGTAAGGTATTTGCATTTGATATGATAAACAGTGAAACTGAAATTTTCTATTTCAATTGCAAGAATTCGCATATCATAACAGAACAGAACTAGAGTTGAAAACAAATTTTCAACAGCGTTAGAGTCGAAAAATAGGGCTCTCAACTGCGTTACAATGGAGATCAAAGTAGCACTGACGGACGAAGACGACATGTAAATGACAACATGACCGTATATAAAATCAGATAAATCAATAAAATATAAAAACATATACGAGACATAACGAGTCATGGATGTACCCGAAAAGAATTTAGCTCTTATACAATATTAGAATATAAAACTCAATCATAAGAATTCACAAGACACCAATGTTACAAATCTTTTAAATATGATAAGTACCATAAATATAATATATATTTTCTAAACATTTCTTTTTGATCGGAACACAACCTTATTTTAGTTACCTTATTTATTGTTCGTTTGTTTCATTGTTTGTTCTGCTGCTCTTGTTCTTCGTCATAGCATTAGGAGAATTCTAACCGGTATGGTATCTTTAAAGGGCTGTCTTCAGTTTCATGTAAGAACATCGCTGCCCCCGATTCGAGGTTGTTGTAGGATGATACTGAGAAGTACTCCACAAGCTGTTGCAGATGTTGGTTTTCTCTAGTCAAGTTTGCATTTTCATTTGCCAATCTTGATTTTTCTGCCATAAGTGCTTCCAATTGAAGCCTCACCTAAAGGTAATTGATTAGATTTGCCAATCAATCATCTAAATAATATTGGATTCAATTTTCAAGGGCTGCCTAATGATGAGAGGATATTATTACCAAATCATCTTCGTTGTCGTTGCGCCGGCGAATCTCGTCTGCTAGCAGAGCACATCTCTGCTTCATGAAATCTAACTCAGATCTAACTTTGTCCAATTCTTCTCTGGCCATGGAAGTTGTCATCTTCACAACATAAATGTAACATTAAATTTAGTTTATCTATGATCAAATTTTATAGGCTGTGTGAATACCATTTTACTTACATTTTTGGGTTTTTTGAGCCTCCCCATCTCATATGGACCTTCTTCTTCCCCTTCTTGATCCTCATTGGAATCCAACTTTCTCTTTGATCCTCTCTTGTCGATGTCCCCTGTCTGTTCGACTTTGTCATCCTTGAGCTTCGTGTTGCTCTTAACAATGGTGGTTTCGAGTAGTTCAGTGAATGTGGGTGGCCTGGATAAGTCTCTAGCTCCCTGACAGACATTGTTAAACAAAACTTAACTCAGAAATAATCACTGAAGTTTTGAATTCGTTCACGTGATTTGTTGAGGAATAAACACTATGCAGCATGTCATGTCAGTAGAGCTTTTAATTCACATGAAGTAAATGTAAAATTCTTGCAATAATACTGGGATGTGCAGCATATATGTATAATCCTTACCAACCATTCTCCCACTTAGCTTCACACATTGAGATTATTAGAATTTTGAAATATTTTGGGAATAATTAAAATAACAAGGAGGAAGAAAATTCTAGCCCACAGGAATATATAATTGCAGTAATAATTAAGCATGGTACGAAAAATTCCTGGAGATTATGGAATAGTTAAAGATAATGATTATAATTTGACCTGAAAGGCAGTGTCGAGGTTGCTGGAAAGCTGAGAGAGTGAACGAAATGTTAAATCAAACCCTCTGAGAAGAAGCACGGAGTCCTGCTTCATTTTCCTCGCCTGCTCCATCGCTTCAGCTCTCTGCTGGGAAACAGCAACAGCAACAACAAAAACACGAACAAAACCTATACATTATAATTAATTCACAATCCGAAACCCTAGTTAAACATGGGGAAGGGAATTCGTGCTCAAAGTGAGTAAATTCAGAGGATGCAACTCCACAAACATATATATATACATATGTTCTAATACCATTTGTGCAGGCACCGATCGCTCGATCGAGGTCTGATTCTCGGTGAGTGCGTCGAAACGGCTGCGAAGAGCACTCCAGAGGCGTTTCTCGGACGAGCGAGTAGCGGAAATCAAGCTTCGACCACGTTCCTGTTGAAATCGCCGACGTGAAAATTCCATTTCTGAAACCGTTACTAACGTGCAATTAAGAAATACATACATACATATATATATGTATGTTCTAATTAATACACACCTTGTTGAGCGAAGCAGGAGGGGAAGGAGATTCAAGCGTAATCGCCATTAGAGCTTCTCTAGATTTGCAGAAAGAGTGAGAAAAGATGAAAGAGTGGAGCCGCATCGAGTCCGTCCGTTCAATATAAAGGCATGCTAGCATCCACCGTTTATCTTTACAACGGTCTGGTCATCCAACGGCTGGGAAGCTTCCTAAGGACAGAAGCTCAAAAAGCGTGTGTGGCTGCTGGGATTCGAGCCCAGGTCTCCACGGCCACAACGTGGAATTCTTACCACTAAACTACAGCCACAATTTGTCATAAAATCAAATTTACAACAAATTTAAAAAAATCATAATTGAAAGATTGAATCTTTATCATAAGTGGGAAGATATTAAAGAACCTGATTTGTTCTCATCATATCCATAAACCAGTTCTCCAATGGCTGCTGCTGCTGCATCTTCTCTTCTTTTCTTCTCTTCTCCATCATCGTCATCGTCATCATCTTCCACCTCTCTCACTCCTCCCTCACGCCTCTCTCTCTCCTCCACCTTCTCCATCTCCCCTTCTCTTCACTCTATATCATCAGCATCAAAGAATTCAACTTTCCGGCGGGCCAGCGCCGCTCCGGCGGGGGCTGTCATCATCAAGGCCGAGAAGAAGAATGTGCTTATAGTTAACACCGACAGCGGAGGCCACGCCATTATCGGCTTCTACTTCGCCAAGGACCTTCTGGCCTCCGGCCATGGTGTCACCATCATGACTGTTGGCCAAGAAAGCTCGGACAAGATGAAGAAGCCCCCTTTTAACAGATTTTCAGTTGAGAGATGATCCTCTGAACATTGCATATACATACATATATATATATAATGATCAGTTTAGACAGCCAAATTACTGACAATAAAAGTATGCAGGAAATAGTGAATGCAGGAGGGAAGACAGTGTGGGGAGAGCCAGCAGATGTCGGGAAGGTATTGGAGGGTGCTTCATTTGATGTGGTGCTCGACAACAATGGCAAAGATTTGGAGGCCGTCAGGTTAGTTAAAACTCAAAACTGCTTAGAAATCGAATCTTATTTTAGAAAAGGCAAATTGTCCACAACTGGTACGTGGTTTCGAAATTTAGTATAAATTCTTTATGTATTTCAAAAATTGCATAACACCTCCTTGCGATATAAGTGAAAATTATTTTTTCATTATAGAAAAAATAAAACAAGGGATTTTATGCAATATTTTTTAAAATACAAGCAACTCTATGCAATTTTGAAAGTATAAAGATGACCTAGACTGAGTTTCAAAACGACAAAAAAAAATATGAGCAATTTTGTCTTTTAAAAATAAGCTCAAATCCCGCCTCAATGAAAACAATATTAGCCAAAACAAGTCTACTAACTGAAAAAATCAATGCAATACTAAAAACTAGTATGTATCAAGAATCAAGTAGTGCAATGAGATTGAGTTTAGTAGCCTAACCTTAAGCCAACATTTCGATGTCCTCCGGCCGGATGTAGTTATTGTAAATAAGCCAATTTTTGCTGCGATAGGCCTGTGGCGGATTGGGCAAAGGGATCTGGGGTGAAGCAATTTATGTTCATCAGCAGTGCCGGGATTTACAAACCAACAGACGAACCGCCACACCTCGAAGGGGTGAGGATGATTGTGATTGAGTCTTGTTGTGTTCTGTTCTTGAAGAGTTGAGAATTCCTTCGATGTAAGAAAGCTGAAATCTTGATGTTTGCAGGATGCCGTCAAAGCAGACGCCGGCCATGTGGGAGTGGAGAAATACATCTCAGAGATCTTCGACAACTGGACATCGTTCCGCCCTCAGTACATGATTGGCTCTGGCAACAACAAAGATTGCGAGGAATGGTTCTTTGATCGTAAGTGTTGGTCTATGCCATACAAGTTAAAACTTTAAGTGAAACGGTCATTTATAAAATGATAAATTGCACAAAACATTTTACGAAATTGGACAAAATCCTCCGTACTTTTAAAATTGCGTCAAACTCCCTCGTAGTTTTATAAATTCTTCGACCCTTCTTAATTAATGTTTTTTTATCTGCACGCGCCAAAAAATGCGAATAAGTTAAAACCGATAAATAAAAATGGCCGAGGGAGTTAGACGTAGAGTTTATGAAACCATGAGAGAGTTTGAAGCAATTTTGAAAATACGGTGGATTTTGCACAATTTTATAAAACCACATGTAAATTTATGTCATTTAGCCTTTATAGAACTAAGAAACATTGAAAAAATGAGTTTGATACTGACAGGGATAGTTCGAGGCAGGCCGGTGCCCATTCCCGGGTCCGGGATGCAACTAACCAACATAGCCCATGTCCGGGACTTGTCATCGATGCTGATCTTGGGGGTTGAAAAGCCAGACGCTGCAGGGGGCCGGATCTTCAACTGTGTGAGCGATCGGGCTGTGACGCTCGACGGCATGGCCAAATATTGTGCCAAAGCTGCAGGACTACCTGTTGAGATAGTGCATTATGATCCAAAAGCAGTCGGAGTTGACTCAAAGAAAGCCTTCCCCTTCCGCAACATGGTATTCTACAAATATATATATATATATATATATATGAGAACATATACATATGCCTGAGTATGGTTTGGTGCAGCATTTCTATGCAGAGCCAAGAGCTGCAAAGGAGATTCTGGAATGGAGTGGAACCACGAATCTTCCCGAGGATCTGAAGGAGAGATTCGAGGAGTATGTCAAGATTGGTAGAGATAAGAAAGACATCAAATTTGAGATAGATGACAAGATCCTAGCAGCGCTAAAAGTGGCTGTAGCGGCATGACTATAGTTTTGAGCAAAGAAATTTTGCTATTTCGATATATCCTCAGGAACGATAACTAAATCCCAACCAGTTGATGTATTATTCTTTTCTTTTAAGCTTAATAGCAACAAACTTTAAAGATCATTTTTAATGGCAAAAGGACACAATTTTTCTCTAGCTGCTGTTCTTCACCAAACAGAGAATAAACTCAAGCCTTGATGGAAGCAACAATTCAAGCATGAAAGAGAGGCAAAATGTATATATAATGCACTATTTCCTCGAAAAAAAATTAGTTATTACCTATGAATTTGAACTCTTAACAGGTAAAGGTTCAGAGTCGTCGGCACTTAGCTTTGATGCCCTGGCTGCCGCAACATAAAGGGTGCTCAGATCATGTTCAACAAACAACAACGACTAAATTATATACTCGTTTAATTGTGGATTAAATATAACGATTTGGGCTATCAGTCACACATTAAGCCTCTTTTATGCAGAAACACTGCAAATTATTAATTGAATGATGAGGTCAATTAATAATAAAGACAATATATTAGAGTTGTGATCCCAAGTGTAGGCGCATAAACTATTACTTTTCATATCTCATCGTAAAAATAACGGCAGAAACCTAATGTTTTCTTAGGAGGATTTGCGTCATAGACACAAGACCCTCCATTAATTTGTAGATTCGTATTCGATTGCGCTGATGGAATCAAGTCGGACATAATTACTTTATTTTCTTATATCAACACAAAAGATCTTAGGATTAGGATTTAATTCCTGTAAGTTCCTACATTAATGACTAAAGCGAGCAAGGCACAATGTCAAGATTACTACATCATAGAATGCCAATGAATTGCAAATAAAAGATTTGATTCATAACAAGATAGGGAACTTTAGAGACACAAATGTCGACAAATGGAACTCGGTAGATATAGAAATCGAACAATCTGTAACCTGTGCATTGAATAGTTACAGCTCCAAGTTAGCCCGGGTTCACTGCAAATTCAAGATTATCATTTAATTACTTCCATAATATATAAGTTTGGAAAATGCAAGAGAAAAAGATGAAATCACCTGAGAAGATAAATTATATGGGTACTCCACAGACTAACAAAAATGAATTTTATTCACGGAAAAACAAAGGAACACTAAAGCCAGTAATGTCTTCCACAAAGAAATATTAGCACCTCCTAATCAATACATAATGTTCACTCCATAGTTGTCAATCACGGATACCGGTGAGCAGCGGTCAATATCTAAAATGCTATAGCGGGGTAGCGGATAGCGGTGTGACCGCTATTTAAATATTTAAGAATATATATATAATTATTATATATACAAAATTATAACAAAAATACATAAGAAAAATCTATAAATTAATTTCATAATTATCACCCAAACCAATAAAATGTCAATATATATATATATGATCATAACTATTAGATAGTTGTATAAGCAAAAAAAAATTAGATAACTATTGTGTAATAGAAATATATCAAAGCATCCAATTCAAAATCTAATAAAAAATTTTATTCTTCATTTCCATCATCTTCACTGTTTAATTACTTTTGTCTATATATATATATTTTTTTTCTTCTTCATTATCATCAATTTATTCAATTGTATGTTTATCAACCTTGTATAATATCATTTTCCTTTTTAGAAGTACCTATAGCTTTCTTTCTCATTGATGTATTGATGTTTGTATCTTAGTGTAGATAGCAGACCTATTAGCATCAACAACAACAACTCCCGTAGTCAAATTATCATTGTAAAGACTAGCTTATCCTCCCCAATTATCAACTTTTTTAATTAACCACTCACTGGAATCACTCAAAACAATAAGACCAATCACATTATTGCTACCATAATGATCTAACAAATTTTGGTTATATTTGATATAAATCAAATTTTGCTAACTTTTGGCTTTCTAATTTGTTTCTTTTCTCGAAATAAATTTAAAAATTTAGTTAAGATTTAAAATAAATATTTTTTGTCTATATTATATTAAAAAAAATACATTTTATAAGTTAAAGTTAGATTTCAATTATTTACCTGTTAAAAAATAATCCAATAAGCTACAATAGTGGTATAGCGTAATATAGCTGAGTGCTGCTACAGGCTGCTACACCCCTATTGCGTACACGCGGAATTGCGGAGCGGCCGTAGCAGCAGAGTGCTTTTCCGCTACAGTACGCCGTTATTGCGCCGCAATAGCGCGCTATTGACAGCTATGATTCACTCAAAACTTTATACGCAAAATACAAAAAGCAGCAGAGTGCTTTTCCGCTACAGTACGCCGTTATTGCGCCGCAATAGCGCGCTATTGACAGCTATGATTCACTCAAAACTTTATACGCAAAATACAAAAAGCAATCATTCAGAACTAAGGGTTTAACAATCACTTCTTAAGCAGCTGCCATGAATGGATGAAATGCAATTGTTCATTTGCACCAAAATCTGTTCCTAACTGTCCTTCAATTTTATATGCTTTCAAAAGCCATCCAATCCGACTGTTATTTGGTAGAATTCAGAGTTGTTAATAATAAAGTTAGTGCCTATAAATAGACCTGATTAAGATGGATAGGCTAAAATAATAACAACTTAATCTTTTTCAAGAGAGATCTAAAATGATATAGCCAAAATTGAGGACTTTCAATAAAGTTAGAGTAAAAAACAAGACTATCAAGGATTGCATTTACATAAAAACAGACTCTCAATGCAATTAGAGTTAGAAAAATGCCCTTGACATAGTTAGACGATATAAGACCAGATATAAGATTTTATTAAAATAAAAAACAAGTTTGAGAAGACGTAGAAATCTCAAATTTACGAAGCCTCCTAGTATAAGTGTACTCTAAAATCTTAGGTTGTGTTCTTTTGTGGGTTCTAACAAAGACTTTACTATTTAGACTTTTTTTTTTCTCGAATCATACAATTATTTTCTTTTTTTTATATTATATGCTATAAATCTATCTTACATTCAAAACATCGCATCAACACTATTTATATTACATCAAACGAACTATTCAAATTCAACTTTTTACTATTCAAAACTCTAAATCCAAAAATTCAAACCCACAAACAAACACCTTAATGGTTCTAATAGTTTTTTATTATTGATAACAAAAATTAGAGGCTAAGATACAGTTATACTTAGTCCATAATCTAAATTACCATAACAAAATATATCAACAATAAATAAATTTAAAAATAAAAATAAAAATCTCTAATACTACAGCAAGAAATTGGAGTCCTAAACACAAGGTAACATACAGCTAACACTTAATACAATCCTTCTAGAACATACAAAGACGCTATGGAAGCTCTTCCCGGCGGTTAAGCGTGCAGATGCCTAAAAAATATCATAACCTAAAGAATCAAAATATTCACATTGTCACACATCCAAGATATAGCGATTCAACAAAATCCTAAACTAAAACATGAGGAAAATAACAGCAACACTAATTGTAAAATGAGGACCTGTTCATTTAAATATCATATTTACCGCTATCGGCGAGTTCAAACATCACTCTTTTCGTGCTCGTCGCAATTAAAAAAAACTTTGAATCAATGGTATCAACTTTGATGCTTTCCTAAAAGAGGGGCAACGGCAACGGTAGCATTGAAAGGTGCCACTATAAAGTAAAACTAATATATTTATGGTGTATATGATTTGGTAAATATTTTGAAGAGGGGAGGAGATCCTCAGCATCATCCCCTCCCTACCCAACACACACCCATGTATCTATACATATGTGTGTAATGATGCTGAGAGTGGGCAGGGAGGGAATGATGCTGAGAGTGGGGTAAGGAGGGATGATGTTGACGATCCCCTCCCCTTCCTCAACATCATCCCCTTCCTGCCCCACACACACCCATGTAAATACATGGGTGTGTATCTATAAATTTGACTTTATAGATACACACACATTTATCTATACATGAGTGTGTGATGATGCTGAGAGTGGGGCAGGGAGGGGTGATGCTGAGGATTCCCTCCCTTTGAAAAGGGCAAGGGGAGGGAATCCTCAGCATAATCCCCTCCCTGCCCCACACACACCTATGTATAGATACACGGGCGTCTATCTGTAAAATTGACTTTATAAATACACACCCATTTATCTATACATGGGTGTGTGATGATGCTGAGAGTGGGGCAAGGAGAGGTGATGCTGAGGATTTTCTCCCTTTGAAGAGTGAAGTGGATCCTCAGCATCATCCTCTCTCTGCTCCACACACACCCGTGTATAGATATATTGGTGTGTGATGATGCTGAGAGTGGGGCAGAGAGGGGTGATGTTGAGAATCCCCTACCAGCCCCACACACACCGATGTATAGATACACACCCATGTATCTATGCATGGGTGTGTATCTATAAAGTCAACTTTACAGTTACACACCCATGTATCTATACATAGGTGTGTGACGATGCTGAAAGTGGGGCAGGGAGAGGTGATGCTGAGGATCTCCTCCCTTTGAATCCTCCCATCTTCAAAGGGAGGGGATCCTCAGCATCATCCCTTCCATGCCCCACACACACCCATTTATAGATACATGAGTGTATCTATAATATTGACTTTATAGATACACACCCACGTATAGATACATGGGTGTGTGATGATGCTGAGAGTGGGCCAGGGAGGGGATGATGCTGAGGATCCCAGTGAGGATCCCCTCACTGGGATCCTCAGCATCATCCCCTCCATGCCCCATACACACCCAAGTATAGATGTATGATGATGCTGAGAGTGGAGCAGGGACGGGTGATGCTGAGGATCCCCTCCCTTTAAATAGGGGAGGGAATTCTCAGCATCATCCCATCCCTGCCCCACACACACCCATGTATATATACACAATACATGGGTGTGATGATGTTAAGAGTGGGGCAAGGAGGGGTGATGCTAAGGGGAGGGGATCGTCAGCATCATCCCCTATCAGCATCATCACACACCCATGTATGATGATGCTGAGAGGGGGCAGAGAGGGGTGATGCTGAGGATCTCTTCCCTTTGAAGAGAGGAGATGATCCTCAGTATCATCCCCTCCCTGCCCCACACACACCCATGTATCGATACATTGGTGTGTATCTATAAAGTCAGGCAACTTTATAGATATACACATGTATCTATACATGAGTGTGTATCTATAAAGTCAGCTTTATAGACACACACCC